CCGCGGGGCCGCCGTCGGGGCCCATGGGCTGGGCTTGGGTTTGGGTTTGGGTTTGGGGCTGCTGCTGCTGCTGCTCGCCCTTCTCCCGGCCGCCGTCCTGCGGCGGCTTCAGCACCAGGGCGCGCTCCTCGGCGGGCAGCAGCGGGGCGCCGGGCAGCAGCGCCTCCACCTGCGTCGCCATCTGCGCGCCCCCGCGGGGGGAACTCCCCTGAACGCGCCCCCGAGCGCTGCTGCTGCTCCCGCTGCTGTTACCCGGTTTTTTTCTCTCTCTTTTCCCTCCCCCCCCCCCCCCCTTTACCCGGCCGGCCGCAGCAATATGGAGCCGCGCGGGGACCACGCGACTAAGCCGCGGGGGCGCGCACCGCGCCGCCCCGGCCCGGCCTCCGCGTGCCCGAGAGCGCGCGCGCGCGCCCGCCCGGCGGCTAAAGGGAAAGGGAGGGGAGGGGCGGGGAGAGGGGCGGGGCGCGCCCCCGCGGGGCCGGCCGCGCGCACGTGCCTGATGCAACGGCTCGGGGCGGGAGGGGGGAGCTTAAAGGGGCCTTTTTGGGGTGTGGGGGGGTTGAGGTGAAGGTGTGTGTGGGGCTGGGGGAGGAGGGAAGGGGTCGCCCGCCGTGGGGTGGGGGTGCCCGGCCCTAAAATGGGGGCTGCTGCTGGTGGTGAGGGTGTTGGGGCGGGGGTGAGGAGGAAGGATGAAGAGGGGGGGTCTCAAGGATGGGGTTCCACGCCTGATACCATAAGAGGGGTCTCTAGGATGGGGATCCACGCCTGACACCATGAGAGGGGTCTCTAGGATGGGACAACACACCTGACAGCATAAGAGGGGTCTCTGGGATGGGGGCTCCGCACCTGACACCACAAGAGGGGTGCGCTCCTGGCTGCACCCCGCACGGTGACACGGGGCCCAGCGTGGGATGGGAGCGGGTTGTGGGGCCGTCAGGGAGAGGTTACAAGGCAGAGGTCCGTGAGGACAGCGCCTGGCCCAGGAGGGTTCAATGTGACCATGAGAAAGACCGGTTGGTGAGGGTGACCGGGGGAGAGTGGCTTGGTCCCTGTCATAGGCTGACTGCGCCACGTCAAAAGACATGAAAAAGGCAAGTGTGAGCCTCGAGTGCATCAGAAGCTCTTTATCCCATTACAGCCGGCACTGATGAACCTTCCTCTGGAGCAGTGTGTGTAATTGTGGTTATCCACATTCAGGGATGATGAAATGGAGCGAGGACTACAAAGATGATTGGGGAATGCAATGTGTTTCATGGAAGGAGATTAAAGGACTGGCTTTTGTACCCAGCAAAACCTGCACACTTTCATTTGAGGAGGTTAAAATGCCTGATTAATCTCCCGCGGACGGAATGTTGCTCGGTCGTGATTGTCTCTGATGTCCTCAAGTCCTCGTCCCTTAATACTTAGAGCAGGCCGGGCAGGGAGGCCAAATCCTGCGTACACACAAATTACCCCCCCACAAAAAGCAAGGCGTGATGTCAAACTTGCGCTGCTGCTGTTATCGTGTGGCAAGACCTGATTCACGGTGCCTCTCGGTGACGCTTTGGTTGACAACAAGCCTTGCCCCAGCCTCTTCTTTCCGACAAAGAGCACGTGCTCCGCTCGTACCCGGAGATGCTCATCCAGGAAACCTGGCTGTAATAGAGCTCCAGTGAGGCATCTGTGCAGACCCCTCGGGAAAACTGACAGCATGACAAGGCTCTGTGAACGCAGCTTCCAGCTGACGGTGCATGGAGAAGGATGAAAAGCTGATTTCACAGCTTAGCTATTAGAAGGGAAGGAGAGGGGAGAGGCAAACGTAGCTCAGCATCTCATTCGGGAGGGCGACAGAATCAAAGGTCTGACAGACCCCCACAGGGAGGAGTCTTTGGCTCTCCGCTGAGGCCATTTTGGCCTCCCGCGTCCCTTGATAGCCAGCTCCAGGTCCATAACCTCATTGCCTAGTTCTCCAGTTCATGTTTCCAGCCCTGAAACCAGGATGGAGCCTGAGGAAACTTCCATTCCCACACAGGCTTTAAAAAGGGTTTTCTCCCTCGGGATCCTCCTGGTTACCCTCGAGTTAGAGAGCACGCGTGTGTGACACAACGTCACCACGTACCGCAGCCTCAGGGATCACCAGCACGTGCCACGGCCCCAAATACCGTGTAAGAATCTGCCAGGTAAAATTGCAAAAGGAAATTTATGTAAGTTGATTATAACTCTAAGAGAGGTGGCTGCTGGCCTTGCTGCCAGGCTGAAGATCCAGAGCGGATGGTGTCATATCTGAGCTGCAACAACAGGGCCACGTCCTACACTCCTGGTAGTCCCGTCCCGTGTTTCCCGGGGGGTTTCTACTCTCTTACAAGCTTAGCTCAGGGACTGCACAACTCCTGGCCATTTGGGCCCCACTCACACATTTACCCTCTGCGAGGAGCGGGTCCCCAGGCAGTGAGCACAACCCGTTGTTGGTTGAGGAGCCTCATCTGGCTGCACTCTGGGGGACAAGCAGCCTGGTGGGGTCCCTTTCCCCTTCCCGCAGCCGGGTGCAGCGTTACTGAGCTCAGTCCCCCTGGGACATGCGGTGCCAGTCCCAGCTGGGCAGCAGATGACAGCCTGGGCTCTGCCTGCCACGTGAGCAGCAAGCGGCCTGCGGTGGGCGAGAGCCAAAGTGGCTCAAGGGCTGTGAGGCAGGGGCGAGCCGGGTGAGTCTCGTGCTCCACGCTCACCCCGTGGCCAGCCAGACCAAACCCTGTCATAGTTTTGAATGCTAAAATATAAATTAATGGGCGAGAGGGATCCACGCAAGCAGCCGGGCTTAGGTACAGCCTTTACGCAGCAGCCAAGAGGACAAATTGCCTTGCTGCCCTTGGTGGCCACCTCTCAGACAGCCTTACGTGAAGGGAAGCTCCTGCCCAGTTCTGCAAGCGAGCTGTGCTCTGTGCACGCAGACTTGAGTCAGCCTAAACAGACTGGCAATGTCCAGCAATTTCAGGCACCCCAGCCCTCCCTCAGTGTCCTCACCTCTGCCAGGCCCCTCTCCCCCTCCTCTGCCCACCAGGCAACATTTACTGTGGCTGTAGCTGGAATTTTCTCTTCCCAGGCTCCAGGGACGCGCTGAGAAGCAGCCAAGAAGTCACTGCGTTTCCGCGGGGCTGGGAACGAATCCAGCTCCGCTTTCCCCAAATTCGATGCAAGCGCCAAGCCGTCATCCCCAAGCCTGCCTCTCCAGCTAATCCTTCACCCCGGCCGTGTCCCCGTGCCTGCCTGACCTCGCTGAGCGGCTGCGGGGCTGCCTCCCAGCCCTGTGCTCCTCGCCTCAGCGCAGCAGCGCAGCCGGCCACCGAGCAGCCCCTGAGGAAGCAGTCTCAGGGGAAACTCCTCTGCCGGCATCAGCAGCCGCAGAGCTGGGATTTGGGCAGAAGCTCCCAACCTCCCTTGATCTGAGTACAACAGCTTATTTGCTCCCTGAGTGAAGCATGGCTTGCGTATTTGTCACAGACACTTCGGCTGCTTTGACACCGGCCTGTAGGTTTAAAGGCACTTTGATGGTGGCCGTTAACCTCTCCGAGCACTTCCAAGCCTCACCTGACCCTGAATATCCCCAGCTTTGTATCTGCCAGGCTGACGACCTTGCCTGGGGCAGCGATCCTCACTTTGGGACTCACTTTAATTCAGTGGAGCACTTAGGCCTCCTGCTAAGGGTGTGTGCATGGGGAAAGCTCAAAGCATCTGTCACCGATGTACCCCTTAGCTACACCATCCCGTTCCTGCCAGCTGATGTAGCTCAGCCCCCTTTTGCATATTCCAATTGCCTGATTTTATCTATATTCATACAAGTACCATGTGTGGTTCTGACCCGAGTTGAGCAGTTTGAGCTGTTCCCCTTCAGCCCCATGAATTTTCCCCCAGCCCTCAAAAAACCCACAGCAAGTTGCTAAGGGTCCAGCAGGGTGGCTGATGTTTTAAACCGAGCTCCTGATGCATTGAACCTTTCAGCTGATGTACTCCAAACACCCACCTTTACGTTAACAGTTTTTGAACTGCCTGGTGTTTAAGATGATATCAACACCCCTGAGCAATTTGTGCCCAAACCAGGAGTATGTTTCTCCTGAAAGAGATGTGCTTGTAAATAACTAACATTAAAAAAGCAACAACAGCAAAAAAAGAAACATCTCTCCCACCCTTGTTCCTTTCTCAGCAACATGAAAACCAGATCAGAGCCCAGCTAGACACCACGGGTCGTAAAACGACAGCAGCTATATTAGCAAGTAGCAGAGCCTGACAGGCGCTGGATTCGGAGGAGCAATGTGAAGTGTGTTTTACAGGGTTTTGCTTTAGCTGTAATCTGCTCCTCAGTGCCCGTGAGCAGCTGCAGCACACTGGGTGTGCTCTCCATCGCATCTTTTTTCCCTCCATCCCAAAGCTGTGCCAACCTTGCAGGTCATTTGGACCAGGAGCACACTTTCAAAGCGAATCTCATGCCATTCCCCAGCACCTTCGCCCCGCTTGCTGTCTACCAGCGAGTGGTGATCGCTCTGTCCCCTGGTGAGGCCACCAGCTGCAAGCCCATGCTTTAAACGTGAACAGCAGAACATTAAGGATCGGGCACCTTAAAGCTTGCGAAAAGAGAAAGGGGATTTTGCCAAGAAAAACCCAAACTTCCTATCCTGAGTCATATGCTTTGAATTATTTACGTAGTTGTTGCTGCTCTGTGAATTCTGCCGGGCAGGGACGCTGTGCGGGACGACACACTCAAGGTTATGCAAATTCTTCTCCAGCAGTCCTTCACATTGCTGCCCTCTGACTCGCTCAGCTGTCCCAGATATTTGCCATATCTGTTCTGCTCCCCCGAGACTTGCAAATTCAGCGTGATCGATCAAATTGCAGGGCTACCTTTGACATCCACCGAGGCAAGATTTTCCAAAGATCTTATTTGTGAAGGAAAAAGCTCGCGCTGTGGTGTGCTGGTGTGGAGCCATTCCCAAAGAAGTTGAGTATTTTAAAAGGAAACACCCCAAACCTTTTATTCTGCTATTTAATCAGAATACGCTGAGTGCTCCCAGACAGTCCCATGGTCCCTTTATATCTGCGGCCAAGTGATTCCGAGAGGTAGGAGAGACTCCCTGGCTCTGAGATAAATGTGCTTGTACCCTTCTAGCAAAACATACGAGCAATCAGCAGGAAGACTGAGCGCATCCGCACCGATAAATAATTTTCAACCCGCCTAATAAAATGGCAGACACTAACGAGTTCCATTACATTCCCATTACCAAGTGCTTTTGCTTAGCAGGACTCCGCAGCCCACAGGCTTGGCTCAGCAGCTCAGTCTTGCAGACCAGCCTGGCAGCACCGTGCTCCTCAGGCCCCGTGCCCCACCAGTGGGACAGAGACCGGCTCACATCTGCTCTGCTGAACTCCTCTTCAGCTCATGCACATCTTCAGTCCTCTGGAAAATGCCCTGGCAAACAGGTTTGTGTCAGCAATGCTCCGTGTGTCTATTCCTGGTGTTAAAAAGTGAGATTTAAATGGGTGTAAAAATCCCAGAATTAATCATCTTAAGGCTGCTCGGCAGTTTTTGCATGTTTTTAATAAATAGATCGAGTGGGAAAATGTATCTATTGGTAGGTGACTGCTTTTATCATCACAACTTTTTGCTCCAAAAGTCAGCGTTCTTGTGGGACTTTCCTAAAGCCAATAAATAACTTTGTCTGCTCGAAAAGAATTGTGAAAACACCCCCACTGCCTTGTTATTGATGATATGGGCTGCAGAAAGCCATACCTCCTCTAGATGAGAATTTCCCGCCTTGTATACTTTGCTGTGGATATATTAACCTGAGGCTGCCTTAACTTATCCCCTAAGCGATTTCTCTTTCCAGGTGCTTTGGCAAACACAGCCGAAGTTGACCACTGAGGCTGATATTTTCTGAAATGGATATTTACCTGCCAAGGACACTGCCTCCTCTTCCCCCTGCACTTCTTCCACATTCAGAAATTTCAGCAAAAATCTTTCAGACGTTTTCACAAACAGAGATGAGCTATAAAAGCTTTGCCATCATTTCTCAGAATGCCTCAAGGTCTCTGTGCTTCAGATGAGACATCCTGCATCCCCCTCTCAGGACGTGCCAATCCCACCGAGAAACAAAGCAGGCTGGAAATGGGCTGCGAGTCCCTAGAGCCCGCGCTTCTCCTGGCAGGAGCACCTCGTGCTAGAGCTGGCTGGGGACGTGCATCTTGCTGCCTGGTGCCCAATGTGCAGGGAGACACCAGCCAGCAGCTGGTCCACGGAGCTCAATTAATTCACGTGGCGGCAGCTTGCGCAGGTGCCCGAAAAGCTCCCAAAGACTCAAGGTGAGAATCGATAAGATTTACGAGTGGGATTCCTGGGATATTTTTCTCTAAGCACCTAGGGATAATTAACAACCAAAAGGCTCAGAGTCATCCACCAGCCTTATGAAATACTAAATCAGGGGCAGCTCCCAGCAGCTCCATTCTCCCCCCTTGCAGGTTGCGTGTTTGTGACAAACCCATCAGCAGCGCATGGCCGCAGATTCTCTCTTTTCCCATGGGAGTCCTGCTGCTTTCAGAGGCTGGTAGCTATTTAAATATTGTTTTACCCCTCTGCAGTCAAAGCAAAGCCCTGGGCCTTGCCTTTCAAATCTTACCCTGAACCACAACATAATTACATTGCTGCCGGGTGTTTCTCTGGCAGGCAGCGTGCTGGGAGCTGTGCGCTGCTCCAGTGCGTACGGACCCGGCCGGTGCCGTTCTCCCTCTTTGACAGCTAGGGAACTGGGAAACAGGGAGATGGAAAGTTAAAATTCTCCCATTATTTTGTGTGTGAGTTCAGACTTCTGGGCCCAGGATTTCAAGGACACCAGGCAGCCTTCCACTGCGCTTTTGTTTCCACTTTTGCAGCCGTGTTGACTCTAGCAGCAGGCACAAACACCTCAGGTTCATATGACTTGGGCTCTGATGGGCATTGCAAGAACAGGACAGGAATTCCGACTGAAAATCCATCCTGAACGTGGGGCTGAGCCACCTGCTCTCACAAAGCAGTGCAGAAGTCCAGCGCTCCTGCATGGTGCTTGGATCTCCTCTCACGGCCCACAGCTGAGGTTTCTGCACTGAGCCTCTTCCCGGTGCCACCAAGTTGAGCTGGGGACAGGCCCCTTTGCCAGCACGTGGGCACGGCCACCGATAACACCCCGTCAGCAGCTGATCAGCGAGTCAGAGGTAAAAGGGTTTCAGCAAAGTGCAGTGCCAGCACCCAGCCTCAGTTCCCATTGTACCAGCACAGTCCCTGGGACAGAGAGGGGGATTAAGAGATCTGTGTCAACAGCGGGCCTGTGTATACAAACAGGACAGCTACGAGGGCGCAAGCTCATGTTCTGTCCCCGGGGAGGTCACTGGGGATGGGAACGAGCTGTGGCTGGGCGACTGCGAAGTGGGACGGGGCTGGGTTATGGGAAACCCGCTGTCCCTCTGCTCCCCAGCCTGCAGGGATGTGGGTTGGGGGTGTAAAATGGTGCTGCAGGGCCCAGGGGGCTGTAGAGGATGCCCTGGCTGTGCAGGGGAACTCAGGAGGGCTGGAGAATTCAACTTGGTCTTGAAGATGGGAGAAAGGGATTGCTTGGTCAGTGGCTTACGGATGTCACTGCTGCCAGCCCTAAGTGGTGGCTCCTCAAGAGCTGCAAAGGTACGAACTGCAGCACTTCTACTTAGCCTCTGAATATGACATGGCTCCAGGGGACAAGCAAGACCACGGGATGCTCATGGACACCCTCCTGCAAAGCATCCAGGAGGCTCCTTCATCCACTGCCCATGGAGAGCTGGCACAGGCATGGGGAAGGGACCACAAATCCAGGCCGAGAGGTTCTGTTTTATGCCTTGATTCTGGCCCTTGCCTCTTCTACCCCTGCACCTCCAAACGAGCTCTGGTTCTTGGCAGCCAAGCCAGCTACAAGGGAAGAAGGGACCCAGCCCAGGGACTGGAGATGTTCCCAGCACCAGGGAGCTGAACCTAGGCACAGGACTGGTGCTGTCCTCTGTTACCTGCTCTGCAAAATGGTTTCATCCCACTGACCTCTGTGTAAGCACTGGGAATGCTGAAGGGGCTGGGTAAAATAGTTCTGCTTTAGAGGAGGGAAAGATTTCCTGAGCACATCACGGTGACAAATGAGGACACAGCACAGGTAGACAGTGACACTTCCCACTGGAGTCTGCTTCAGCCTCTTCTCCCTGCCAGAGAGGAAGAAATGCAACTAAAGCAGCTCCTTGGCTCTCCCTGCTCACAATCTCCAGCAGCGCCGTCGGAGAAGCATTTCTCCTCTTCCAGTGATGGCATCTCTCCTCTTCCAGGTGGTGGCACCTCTCCTCTTCCAGGTGGTGGGGGCTACAGGGCTGCGAGCCACTTCTGGATGCCACCTCGCCGCATGGCACTTTGTGGATCAGTGCTGCTCACACGGCAGCACCAGCCAAAGATTTTTCCTGCTGTTTGCATTCAGAAGAGCAGAATTCGCAGGTGGATTTTGTTATGTTGCTTGCCAGCTTTTGTGGTGATCTGAGGGCTTTTCATCATCCGGCGTGAGTGACGGCGCTGGCTTGTAAGAGTCCAACCTCCTGCCAGGGTGTTTGTTAGACTTTGAAGTTAAATCATGAGCAAAATGAATGCAACGTGAGGCTGCATGCAGTCCGAGCCAAGATTTCTTGCCGGTGTTTAAGTCTGTTAGATTTTCATGCTTCTTAGCTAACACCCTTTGTTCCTAAACCCTTTTTCATCTGACGACAAGCAGCGCCGGAGCTTCAGAGTGGAGACACCAGGAGCCAGACACTGCCACACTCACCCTCCTCACCTTTTCTCTCCTCTCCTACCTCTGAAATAAAACAAACAGACAACAAGTAGGGGGAAAAGCCCATATTTCCCTTCTCCACCCTTGCAAGCTGCTGCTCCTGCTGCAGAATCTTCTCTCTATTCAGCACAGCCAGCTCGAGCTCGACACAGTCCCACCCCAAGGCAATGCTGAGGTCTCTCCAGATTTTCAGAAACCTTCTGCAGGAATTTATGGCCCCAAATCACACTCACCCCAGAGGTCCGCAGGGCAGCAGAGACTTCTTTACACTCAAGAAGGCTTTTCTTGAGCTTGTTTCCAGTCTGCAGGCTTATCTTATTATTTTGTAATTCCTCTCCTAAAGATGCAAAACTGAAGCTTGTGCCAAACCAAAACATCCCCGCAGTTTATCTGAGCGTGGAGGCACACGTGAAGGCAGCTGGGGCACGGAGCAGGACAGCAGCCAGGGCCTGCGGAGCAGCAGGGGCTGCTTGCAGCTGGTGCGACGTGAGGGAAAGCCAAAAGCCACGCTGGGACCACACCACGGCAGCAGCAGAGCCCCAAATCTCCGTTTTCTCACCCCGGTGGTGCTGAGGCTGCTTTGTCCGCTGTGCTCCCTCGGGGAGGCACGAGCCATCCCGCGCTGTGTGGCACTGTGGTTCCTGTGCTGGCCATTTCTCTGGGTACTGCCTTACCTCTTAATTAATTAATGTACGTTAGTGAGCCTCGTTAAGGTGCCTCCTGCCTTTCTGTGTGTGGTGACAACACTCTAAGATTGCTGACGATGTTGGTGGAGGCTGGGGCATCGAGCTGCTGGTGCTCCTGCTGACCACGGGGCACCCAGGCACACCTGATCGACCTTCAGACAAACACAGAGAAAAACTCCCCACAGCTTCCAGCAGCTGTCCCTGCATCCCCCTCCCCATGATCTCTGGATGGAGACCAAACACTTCCACATTGTCCCTTTTCCAAGCAGGGGATCTGCTGACTGATGGAGGCACCCCAGCTGCTCTTTGGGGACCACTTGGGATGCCACCAACCTTGCCCAACGCAGTGCAAGGTGTTCCCAAACACCAGAAAAACTCCCAAAGAAACTGCAGTGAGGTCGAGTGCTCACATCTTTATTTTTTTTTTAACCCTTTTTGTCTCACTTGGGAGGTCTTTCTGCCCCAGGAGCAGCTGCTGGCCCCCAGGGGGTCACAGCACCAGCAGGGAGCAATCAGGATCCATCCTTGCCTGCAGGAGCCAGGTCCCCAGGCTTTGGGAAATGGCACCTTGCCTTGGGCAGAGGCCAGGGCCCCCGTCCTGCTTGGTGCTGCTTTTCAGATAGGCAGGCTGCAAATAGTGCAGTTCACGTGAAGAGGGGAGATAGCGCAGCCGGGGTCCGAGCACAGGGCTCTTGGCAGCGGAGGCGGCGGCCAGAGAGGATGAATGAGCCAGCAGTGCTTTGCCCACGATAAACGCAGCTTCACACACGTGTGTAATCAGGAGAGGGCAGCCCTGGCTCTTAACAGCATCTCAGGCAAGCCAGGCTGGGTGGGGTGATGCCAGCACCCAGGACCCAAGCGCCGGAGATAACTCGTGCCCCAGGAGGCAGGAGAGAGGGGCTGCGTCTGAGCAGGGAGAATTTCCCACCAGGGCAGGTGCTAGCAAAGAATGGGCTTGCAGTGAGCCAAACAAGGTCTGCTGCAGCCTTTCTACGCTCCTATGGACAGGCTGAGTTCCCTAAAATCATGTGGCCAGGGCCTGTCCCCTCTTTGCAGCCCCCCATGCCTCCAGGCACAGCCTGATCCTGTCCTGTGCCCACCCTCCTGGTGGCAGCTGCCCCACAAGCAGGGCTGCACGCCCGCAGAGCAGATTTTGCTCCCTCCCCATTTACTTTTAACCGAGCAGGGGGCTGTGGGAGCTGGGCGGGCTGGAAAAGATGCTCCCAGCTCCCTGTCAGGGCTGTAGCTCGTTTCCCCTCCTGTTTCTTTCAGGGTGGCACGGCCCCAAACTCCTTCCAGCTGGTTGTGAAGTGCTGGAGGGTTGCCAGTCCCAAACCGTGACTCAACAAAATCCCCCAAACAGGCGTCTCCTCGCCCCCCCAGCTGTCCCTCTGCCTTCACCCCGTCTCTGGGTGCCTTGGTCACCCTGTGAGGGGCTCGTGGCTCCGGCTGTGCTGGCTGGGGGCAGGAACAAACACTGCAAACCTGATACAGCTGCCCCACCTGGTGCTTTGCTGGTTTTGTTGTTATTTTATTTTATTTTATTTTATTTTATTTTATTTTATTTTATTTTATTTTATTTTATTTTATTTTATTTTATTTTATTTTATTTTATTTTATTTTATTTTTATTTTTTATTTTATTTCTGGGGGGCTCCTCCCTCTTCAAGGTCTCAGGATCTCCCTTGAGAGGGATCAGCAACCCCCAGCAAAACAGCAGGGAGCACAGTGCAAATTCTTTAATCCTTTCCCCGAGGGGAAAGACCCCAGGACAGGTAAAGGAGGGAGGTTTGGGGACTGTGCCTCCCCACATCCCACAGAGACGCAGCAAAGCAGAGGTGGCTGCTTTGGGATACGGCTCGGGCCTGAATTCACCAGCACTGCCCCAGCCGTGGGTCCCTGCAGATAAAGCACTGGGGGTGTGCAGAGGCTGGCTGAAGGCCCCTCTCCCTGCAAGGACACTCTGCTAGGAAAGAAATACTGCTGCTGACCCGGGACACAGCGAGGAGGGGATTTGGGAGCCTCAGGCAGGGGAGGCACAGCCTGAGCCCGGCTTTGCTGCCATCTGCCGCCTGCTGAGCTGGGACGCCCATCTCAGCCAGACACCCAGCCAAGAGCTTTTCTCAGCCGGGGGATCCCCTCTGATCTAAAATGTTGAACGCAAGCCCTTTCCCTCTTTCAGGAGAGACACATTTTACCTGCAGGGACTAAGGGTTTACTTGAAATGCAGCAAGCCCCGGGCAGGGAGAGCTCCCGGTTTACTGGCAGGCACCTGCAGAAAGCCTCCAGCCTGGCGCCAGCCCAGAAATCCACCTCGGGAACACATCGGACGTCTGCAAGGTGTCCCCAGCACGGTACAGGTTGAGCCGCCCTGGCTCTGCCCGGGACTGGCAGCAAGTCCCCAAGATAGCATCTCAGTGACCAGAGCAGGCATCACACAGCGCAGGTGCCGAGCACAACAGCACCATTTCATCAAGAGATGCAGCCTTTATATAAACACGGCTGCAAATACATCTATACGTGCAATAAATTTGTATAAAATCCCATTTGCAATGGGTTCCCAAGAAAGGCATTTTTGCTGTTTCCATGTCCTCTGCCTTCAGGGCAGTTGTGAGCTGATTCCTTTCCCCCAGTCTCAGTTCAACTCCCCCCACTGGCAGTAACCCAAGCGGTGCAGGGCGCTGAGTCCCAGGGGTGCAAAATGCTTTTCACTCCCTGCAGCCAGCCCCTCGCAGCCTTCATCTCCGCCCTCACCCCACCTCTGGCTGGCTATGGAGCCAAGACAGGTGTCCCAGGAGGTGAGAGCCGGTGGTGTTACATGTCCAGGGTCTGGGGGCTCTGACCAGCAGCAGTTTGCAGCAGGGGGGCAATGACTTGCTTGAGCGGGCATGGAAACAGCCTAGGCTAGAGAAATGTCACATTTCTGCAGCATCCCCAGCGTGACTGGACAGCACTGAGGGATGTGTGAGAAGACAAAGCTGCAGAAGCACTGGCCTTGAGCACTCAGCCTCGAGCTCCCCAGTCGCTGATGCTCTGGATGTGTGCTGGAGGCCAGCGGCTCCCCGCCACCAGCGGGGCAGGGCCATCGGTGCGAGATGTTCTGGCTCCCAGTCCTCTGAGCCCAAGGGGGTGGCCCTGGATCACGAGAGCTCAGCCTGCAGCACCCGTGCCCTGTGGGATGGCTCACAGACAGGGCAGGGACGGGCAGCTCCTCCTGTAAGGAAATGTAGGGCTGCGAAAAGAGGACCTTTCCCATCAAAGCTCCCTTAGCCAGGGAAGGGGTGTCTCTAGTGCTGTGCCACCAGCCTGCAGCTCGTCCTTTCTGTGTCTGAGCTGGACACGGCCAGGCTGTGCCCAACAGGGACCTGTCCACCCCAGCACGGTGCCACGAGCAATGGGGGATCTGCAGAAACAGCAGTGCCCACCCTACAGCCAGCCACAGACCCCTGCCCTGGGATGGGGATCAGGGGGGTTACACAGGGTGTAAATGGCAGCTGGAGAGAAAGCAGAGCCAGCCTTTCAGAAAATCTGGCGACTGGGAAGAGCTTCAAACAGATCGCCGTGGGATGAAAGCCATATGGGGGGCAGAGCCGTGTATGGTGCCACAAAAATGAGGCAGGGGAGGCTGAAGGGCTGGCCCCAGGGTGGCCTCACGAGCCCCCTCAGCCGCTTGGAAGGGGAGCTGCCTGCTCTAGCCGCCTGCCGACAGATGGTGCCAGCGGCCCGCCAGATCCCCTCGCTCCCTGCACCTGAGCCCCGAAGTTTTGGGGACGGCTGCGGGGCCGGGGCCGTCCCCTCAGGCTCCCAAAGGGGCTGGTGTGAGAGCAGACCCGAGGCGGGCGATGGGCGCCGCAAGGCCGGGGCTCCTCCGCCATTACCCGCAGGCCTGCGGGTGGCGGCGTTTGGTGGGGCGGGCAGGAGGATAGCAAGGGATTGATTTTCCTTCCCTTCTGGGCCTCATCCTGCCGTGGCTAGTACAGCACCTTGGCTGTGAGCCCTGCCACTCCGGCTGGTTGCCCTCCGTGTTCAGTAGGAGGCGGCGGGCACCAGCCAAAAGGATGCAGGAGGGGGCGTAGGACAGGGAGATGGAGGATTTGGGGTCCCTGGGGGAACATGGTGTTCGGAAGCTGTTTGAAGCACCTTGGGCAGGAGGGATGGGAGCTCTGGGAGGGCAGAGCAGGACCAGCACCAATTCTGGCAGCCCCCTGAAGCCCAAAGAGGCAAACCCCACAAGGCCTGCGCTGCCCCGGCACCTCGGAGCCACCAGTTTGTTTGTGGAAGCTCCAAAAAAAGGAGGCAAAGTGCTTTTCTTTTTAACCACACATCATCTCGATTCATACTGCTTCTTAACCAGATCTAACTTCACTTGGAAAGAACCACCAAAACACCAAATGGGCGCCGCTCCCCACCCGCTTTGTTGGAGTGAAAAGTTTCCAAACTCAGAGCGCCTCAGCAAATCGGGAACACGCCCGTGAACATGCGGTTTGGAACAGGGCGATAGCCACACCGCTCTAATGCTAGCCCAAGCAAGTTTTTATCACATACACATAACAGCCATAAAACCCAGCCTGGAACAAGCAGGGTTGTTTCTGCAGGAGTGGTCGAGTTTTGGATTTTAATAGGCCTCAGCCCCCTCATAATTTTCCTCCTTAAAATGCCAAGAGGCACCAGCCCAAAGCAAGGCTTAGAAAAATCCTGTAAAATAGCTTGTAAGTGTCTAAAAGCCTCCGGGCTTCCCTCTCTTGGGCTCAGAAATGCCACCTCCAGGGCGGTGCAGTGGGGTGAGGGAGGGCTGGGGAAGGTCTCCCAGGTCCCTGTCCCACCACAGGGCAGGAGCTGCTGTGGGGACGTTGTAGGATCCAGGCCGTGCTGCGATGTGGGATCCTGGCCAAGGGGACAGATGGCTGGGGTCAAGATTGGCTGGCCAGTGTGGAGACAGAGCGAGCTGCAGGAACAGGGATGTGGGACAGGGATGTCCCCTGCCTGGAGCTGAGGGAATTAACGTCCTCCCAAGCCCCACGTCTGCACCTGACTGCTCCCACGCTGCCCGGCCCGTCTTGTTTTGAATAACCTTCATGTAACCCGGGCCGGGCTTCCCTGTCCTCCTGCAGAGCATGAAACATCTGTCTTAATATCTAACCTTTGAGCTTTCTCTTTGCAAATTAAGTTGATTACATCTTGGCCCAGCTCCAGCTCCGGAGAGCGATTGATCACTGTCATCTCAGAGGTCTTGGGAGGCTCTTATCATGTCCTCCTCCTTCGCTGTGCCAAAGAAAAACAAAACCCCGTCTCTTTGGCCAGGTCGTGCCGTCCACTTTGTCATCCCTGCTGCTCTGCAGGCTCCTCTGAGTCGTCTGCATCCGCCAGAGCACTGCAGGGCCCTGCAGCGGGATTGATGGCACCCTTAAAGGCAGGAAACCTCACATCCCAAAGACCAACATAGGTCACTTGGTCCTCTTTACATTTTGAGTGATTTTTGGTCATCAGAGCTTCACCCTTTGGCCTCTGAGCATCTCTCTCTGAGACTGCATGCAGCAAAGCCGATAGGATTTTTCTAAATTGGCACCCCAGTGGGATTTAATGGGGTTTTAGGATAAGACAAGATCAGCCCTCACGGCAGATATGCTTCTCCTGTTGGCTTTGCCTCAGCCATGGCAGAGCCAACATGCCCTGATCGGAGGATGCTGTGCCTTGCCCAGCTGCCTCTTGACTTTATTTTCCCCAACACCAACACCCGGCATCCCTCTGGGGTCAGCCGAGAGCTGTCTCCAGCTGCCAAAACTTCCACACCGGGGGTGTAGCATTTCTCATCCAACCCCCTGCCAATCAGCCTCCCCTTCCCCCCTTCTCTATGATTTAAAGCAAGAAAGAGCCACCGGGCAAACAGCTCGAAGCCGGCATCCCGGCAATTATAAAAGCACTTTCTGCCAGCTGCTAGACTCCTTGTCACCAAGCTGATGGGTAGACTAAACAGCGAGGACCCGGGCTGATCCCCCCGTCCCGCTCCCCGGGGAGGCGAGTCTCGGGCAGGCAGACAGCTGGGGCTCTCGGAGGATGCAGCGCTGCGCCGCTCGGGCAGGAAAACCGGGGGGGCTCGGGGAGGGGAGCGCAATGGTTAGCATCAAACCTGGCAGCAACGCCGCAACGGGGAAGGCCAAGGGGATCCTGAGGCTGCTTGAGTGAGGCGGGTGGGAGGAGGCGGAGGAAGTGCTGAAGGGACTTGGAGGATGGAGCCTGGGCGGTGGGAAGCGGGGATCTCCCCACGCTGGGGGCTCACCCCCTTCTTCCCAAGTGTGCTGGCAGCTCTGGCTCATCCCTCCTCTATCACCAAAGGGTCTGAGCCTGGAGTGCCAGGGGGCTGGGCTAACAAAAGTGATTTTTTTCCCCCATCAGTTGCCCAAACCTTGCTCTCCCCCCCAACACTGCCACGTTCTGCCGATAGCTGATGTCGCTGGTTTCCCCAAGGGGCTGGCAAGGAGCAGCCGGTGCCGTTATCTGGGCATCACTCCCTTATCTGGCTCCCAGTTTGGCTGCAGGGAGCCAGCACCTCTCAGGTGATGGAGGCTTGGTCAGGAGCTGCTCCACAGGGGAATCCACCTGGCCAGCCCCTTTTCTAGTAAAACCCCATCAGATAGCAGTGCCTGGACATCCCCAGGGGTGACGGGGTGGAAATGGGACATTGCAGTTGAGAAGCCCAGGGATACAGCTGCTGCTTCCTTTAAAAAATAAAGGAAAAAAAAAAAAGGCAGCTCAGGTTCCTTTTTCCATCATTTAGTGGCTTGATCATGCCAAAAGAATTAAGCAGGAGTGATGCTGGAGAGAGCTGTGGCTTTTATTGCTCTTATCTGCCGGCTTCTGGAGGAGTGGGATGGCTGCGTGGGGGTCTGGGCAAGGGACGCGGTGCACACGCCACGGGGAGAGCAGCTTCCCTCTAAATCACTGCTCGCCGTGATTTATGTGGAGGCTCACAGGTTAGGTAACTGCAGTAAACAGAATAAACAGACCTCGGTCTGAATTTATGGACCGACAAAAGGACCTTTAACCATAAAAGAAATGTGCTTTCCAGCCCTCTTCTATCACCAGATCCCAAGCAAAGGCTTAAATACTTATGTCAAGCCCTCGCAGATCAGGAGCTGGGCTGGATTCAAACCGCTGCTCTATTTCCCTGTTCTCTGAGTAAGCCATCTCCTAGCACACCTCCCGCTCACTCTCAGCTGCCCACCGACACGAGGGGTGTTTTTGGGGTGCTGCTGGCTGCTCAACCCTTCCTCCCCAGCACCTACCCATATTCAAGCAAGGAGCTTTGGCTGCTATCGCAGAGATAAGCCTCCCCAGTACAACAGCTGCTATCTGAAGAGCAACTAAGGGCTGTATCTTTTTCTCCCAAAGTAAAAGTGGTGTTAGATTTTCATGTGGTTCTCAAACATTTGATGCATCTCTCCCTATAGATGTGGAAAGTTGTGTCATGACAATATTACCCACCTTGTGTGCCAGGCAGAAGGGCGTGTGTGAAGGCACAACATCTAGGGAGCCACCTTTTTTTTTTTTTTTAACCCACCTTTAGACCATCCTTTGAAATACGGTATCAGTGCAAGAAAAGGAAGCTGCAGAGGTTTCTGTCTGTCCCCAAACAGGCACAGCTCATGCTTGGAGCCGGTCCCTCCAGGGGAAGGTGTGCACAACAGGGAGTGCGGGAGGCAAGGGTAAAACCAGAAGCTGGGCTAAAAAATGTTGGAAAATTTGATATTAATAGGACTTATCAGCAGAGTCAGCCGCAGAGCAGCACAGAAAACCCAGTGCTATGGAATCTGCTCTATGAGCCCCTCTTTACCCTGTCCCTTGGGAGCCAGAGAAGGGAAAGCGTCCAGGAAAGCGTCCTGCCTTCCCTCCATCTTGCACATCTTTATTTAATTCCATTGAAAGCAAGCTGACATATTTGAAATGGAACAATTTAAATCCTTGAATTGTTCTAAATCCAGGAGAATTGCCAAAACCCCTGTTTTAATACATTTTTAAATTGCCTTTTCCTCCTGTCTTTGGGAGCCAAGCTATGGCTATTTAATTACAAGCACAGCCTCTATTTAAGAAACCCTTGTAATGAGGCTGGCGTGGAAAGGCACCCAAGTTTTCCATTGTCTGACCGAGGCACTGCGATTAGCACGTGTTATCCCGTGTTCACATTTGGCACGGGTCGGTTCGTGATGCTTTGGGGAAATGGGCTAGCGGTAATCTCCACACCCCGGGCTCTTCCTGAGCTCACAGCAGTGCTTTAACCTGCCCCTTAGATGGGACCAAATCCAGAATCCTACTAGGTAAAAGGGTCGGGATGCCTGCTTTCTGCAGCTCAAATCTGGGAGCAGAGGCTTTCAGTCCTCCAAGGCACAGTTAGGGAACAAGAGGATAGGAAATAAATACAAAAGGGAGGAAGGATTGGGTCAAAAGGAGGCAAAGGAAAATCCTAGCAAGGGAGAGAAGCAAGAACGGCACCGCAAGGAAACGACTCTGTGGTCCTTGCGGTAGCAGCATGGAAATATTTCCCTTGGCTCACATCGAGCTGGGAACTAGAGCCGACCCCGGGGGGAGTTCTCCGAGTACTGTAGCAGCCACTCAGCTCCGAAAAGCACTGTGGAGAGCTTCCCAAAGGGTCAGTGATGTGATGCAGCAATGTGTCCCAGCTGGGATGCCCTACACCCCGCAGCAGGGAGCTCTCAGTGCTGGAGCCACCACACCACACGGACCAGGGCATGCAGAGCCCTCTAAGAGAAGCTCCTGCCCCAGAAAACCCCACATAAACCAAAATGCAGCCAACCAAAGCCACCCCCTGCCCTCATCCCATGGAGGGGACCAGGCAGGGCTCCAGCATCACCCTAGAGGTGATGGAGCAGAGCAGGGGGACATCTCCTGCCCCCTCCCAGGGCTGGCATGCGAGCAGCACCAAAACCTGCTTTTGGGGTAAGGAAACCACTCGCACCCACACCATCCTTCGGGCAGCTCCGCATCCCTTAGACCCACATTCCCCGGGGAGAGCTGGGCCAGTTGGGGCTCCCAGGAAGCGGCCGGGCCGCGGTGGAGCCAGCACCCTCGCCATCCATCATCCTTATCAGCCCCGCTGGCAGCCCGCCGGGCCCTGGCAAGCGGGGCCGCACGGCGAGAGACAGGCAGGAGGCAGCGGGGCGATAAGCCACGCCACAAACAAAAACAACTGGCCCGGCCGGAGACTTCAAAGCACCCGGCTGAAATTTATGTGGCTGCGGAGCCCGTGCCGGTGCTGGGAAGATGGGGGCAGCCCCCAGCGTTGGGGGGGGATGCGGGTAGGATGATCTGCTGTGGTTCATGTATGCAGAGCCATGGTTTGGATAAGCTCTGTGGGTGTAATCAGGATGCTGGCAAGGGGTGAAGCACGTTGTCCTGCACCGGGCACAACCCAGTAAAAGCTTCAGGCACAATCGTGCCCCATGGTTCTGCATGGCAGCACCCCCGGGGCAGTGCTGCTGCCTGCACCCACAGGCTCCCAAAGCACCCACAGACATTTATTCCGAGTGATTTACCAGCAACAAGGCCGTTTGCTGTCCACATGCAGCCCTCTCAAAGTAGCTTCAGCAACCAGCTGCCAGGTGGAAGCTTTCGGGCTGCTGCCAGGGAAATGAGGAGCCCAGGCACAAAGTGCTCCACCTGCCTTGGAAACACCCCATGAGCATCAGCTGGGATCGGGTCCCTCTGCACTCAGAGCTCCCCTGGGGCAGGTGCAGCTGCACAGCACTTTGGGAATAAACAGGAAAAAAACAGTTGTCACAGCTTATATGAGTTCCCTCTCAGCTGTATTCACATATCGAAGTGTAACAATGCTGTTGAAGCAGAGCCTCAAATCGCTTTGCTGATAACTGCCTCCTTCTCCTTATAGGAAATGTCATCAAGCTTTGTTTGGATGTCATCATGCTGACAAATAAATGATCACTAACTTTTTTAAAAAGTCTTTTAAAATATTAATATAATAATAGTTTTTAAATTATGAGTACTGATCAGTAGCTCTTGCTTTCATTTGCCAACAACATCACTCAAAAATTAGAATTGCTAGCTTAAATTTGTGCAAATGGAAATTGAGTCAAGTTAAATATCTGTTCCTTGCATCTTTTCTTTCCTCTCCCTCCACTTTCATATAAAAAAAAAAAAAAAAAAAAAAAAAGAATTTAGGTGTAAGGGCAGTAATAGAAACAATCTTCCATTTCAGTTGCATCTAATTGAAAGGGGAAGGATTTTATTTTTACCATCAGAAGAATGTGTCCTTTGGCATCTGAATGAAGAAGCAGTGATTTCAGATAGTTATTTTTGGGGGGAGAAAAGACCCTTTTCCCAAGTCTTGCACCCCAGGAGCCTTGGAGGAAGGCTCCCCCCAGACTCACTCCGACGGGAGACTTCCAAGCACTTCAAGACCCGCTCTGCCTCACCTCGGGGCTGTACAGGGCTGCCCCAACCCCTGTCCCCCCTCCAAAGACCCCCAGCGCCCTCCTCCCCTTTATACCCCTGCGGGTGACGTTAGGGCTCCCTGCCCACCCTACTGGCTGGCGGGGCTGGGGGTGGGACGTGCCAGCACCCCTTAAAGCGTGGGGCCGAAGCCCCCAGCCCCGAGGAGCCCGCTGACGCGCGGGGGGCTATCTTGTTTTAATTACATCAGAGCAAATGACTCCTTCCCCCGTGCTTTATGTCAGCGCGGCGGGGCCGTAATTTCTCTTGGCACAGTCTAGACTGGAGCCCCTTTGAAGCCACTCGAGGCCGGAGGAGAACAAACAGCTCCTCCCGAGCGGGGGGATTAGGGGAGCCAGTGGCCGCCCCACTTTGGGGCACGGCCGAGTCCTTGCCGGAGCCCCCCCAGCCTCCTGCTCCCTGCAGTGCCCCCACAGGGGTCCCAACCCCACCGGGGTTTGGGTTCCTTGAGCTCAGCTTGTCCCTGGGGAACAGAGGAGATGCTGGCGTTGGGTGAGGCCACGCGGGATTCCCACCACCCATCCCGGTGCTGAGGGTGGTCCCGCTGCCCCTACAACCCCAGGCTGCCCCCACCACGTCCCCAAGCACCGGTCCTTCACCCTGAGCAGCATCAGGTCAGCAGCCCCCACACTTTTCCCTGAAAAACTTACCAACATATTCAATGCAGGAAGTCTCTTCTTGTTTTCTGCTGATGAAAGTAATCCTAGAAGTACCTTTACTAAGTTACAGCATTTCCCCATTACATTTATTTTATTTTTTAAAGACACAAATGTGAGTTTCATTAACTGGAAAAGGCATTTTCTACCCCATTATCTCGAAGAACCCCAGAAGCCTGAGGGCACGTTTTAGGATGAGCACAGAGAACAGTTCCCCCCAAAACCTGCAAGGCCACAAGAAACACTGACTCCTTCCCCAAATCACTTCTTCCCCTCCCCAGCACTTGCCAGATGAAACCCCAAGGAGCAGCACCGCTCCCCTGGGGGGCTTCGGGCGTTCCCCAAGGTCCCTGGAGGAGATGGGGCTGGAGATGAGCCATGACGTGGAGCTGTGGGGCCCCAAGGAGAAGCACAGCCTGTAGGGGGGCCTAGGCCCACCCAGGCACTGAGTTTATAGGGATCCCGCCCGTGGGCAGGGTGAGGGTCCCAGCTGAGGCTGCTTAGGGCTGTCAGCCCCTGTCAGTGCCCCCAGGCCCTGCCGTGCCCACCCCACCCCAAGTTCTCACCTTGCCAAAGCGCCGTCCCCATCCCCGGCTGGGCCGAGCCCGTGCCCCCATTGCCGCCCCGGCTCAGAGCAGCAGCAGAGCTCGCATGGAAACACACGTGTTTTCTATATTTTCCACCCAAACGCCGGGTTTTAAATATTCTAGCAGCACCGCTCGCTCGGCGAGAGCTGCCAGGGTTTATGACAGATCCCTCCTCCTTACGGCTCTGAAATCGGGCTGCAAACAAGCTCTCTGGGCTGCAGCGCTGCCTGCGAAGGGGGCTGCTCCCCTCGTGCTGTGCCTGTTGGCTCCAATTAGCGCTGGCAGGAGGCAACTGCAAAGAGAAGGAGAGCTTCGCCCTGTGAGTGAACTCCTTTATTTACAGCGTTTTCAAAGCAAGATGAATATTTTTATTTATTTCTATTTTTTTATTATTTTTTTTAAACAAACTTACCCATCTGCGAAAGAAAAAAACAACCAACCCCTAAATAGGTAGAGGAAGGATGCTGCCTGCTTTCCCTGAGATGGAAATTCAGCTTCGATTAGTAAGGGCACGATAGGATCACCTGGCATTTCTCTCCAAGCCCTGCCCTGGCCAGAACTTGGCTTCAGCCCCTGCCTGGATCCAGCTCCAGCAGCATCCTTGCCCTGGCTCCTGCCTCTGCCCCTGCAGGAGTGACTCCATCTCTCTGCTGTTAATTAACACCTGACGAGCAGCTTCAGAGCCCTCAGCCGAGTGTGTGGGCAAATTGGGGGGACCCCATTTGTGGGATCCCCATGCCCCCCAGCTGTGCTGCCCGCTGTTTCAAAAGGCACAAACGCAACCCAAAACTTCTCCTCCGTGCGGGATATTGGTGGTGTCACTGCAATAAATGGGTTTTGTAGGAGTGCCTCCGGGGTATCACTGAAGTGGATTTGGCAGGAGGCAGAGGAGCTCAGCCCGGTGGGATTTCAGACCTGCCTTGTTCAGACGTCCCAATCACAGCTTTGGGTACCAGCGGATGCCTCTGCTCTTTGCTTCCTGTGGTGCTGCAGGTAATGCACATTCTGCAGGGCCAGGAGAACGCTCGCATCAGGGAAATCCTGCAACAAATAACCCCACGGGAGACAAAACCCCTTGTGCAGGGAAGCTGGGCTCTCTGCTCCCCGTGCCAGCAGCCTCAGCCAGCAGAACCCAGGGAGAAAAGCCGTGTGCCTGACGCACCACATCCAACCATCACTTTGGGTTCGCGCCTCATTTGCCGTATTCCTTCCAGCCGTGCTCCTTCCACCTCGTCCAGCCACAGCCCGCGGTGCTTCCAGCAGCCGAGCAGCTGCTTTCTGTCCCGTACCACCAGGCAGGAGCTGGGAGAGGGGCGGCCCCGTGTGCTCACAGGGCCAGGAGTTACGGCCACTGCTTGCTACCGACTGCGCGCTGCCGGCGAGAGCCCTCCCGGCCATAACTCAGCGCCGAGGCCGCCCCAGTGGGGTAGTGGCCGGCAGCAGGGGGTTTATGGACTTTGGAGTGGGCTTAGTTAGCTGTGCCCCCAGGGATTTCTCTCGCTGAGTCGTATGGAGAAGCCTGGATGCTCGTTCTGCTCATTAAGTGAGGGAAGCGATGTGGCTTGCAAAGGCAGGAGCAGTGCGTTGTGCTCCCTGCCCTAATGCAGCTTTCCCAGCTCCCCGTGCCACCGGGGCTGCTCTGAGTGGGCTGTGGGGGCAGCCCCTTTCCCCTACAGCACCTCAGTTGTTTCTCATGTGCCTGCTCAGCGCTGATGGGGAAGGATGGAGCTCCGCAGCTCTGTGGGAGGATGTGATCAAGACTCCTTTGGTCTGTCCAGCCACCTGGATGCCCCTACCCTGCCTCAGTTTCCCTGCAAAACCTGCTCATGATGCAAGGCAGACCAGCAGCTCGGGGCGCTGTGCTCGGCTCTGCCGCCAGAGAGAAAACAGGCGAAGCCGAGCGCAGAGCCCAGAACATCCCGGCGCTGATAGCAGGCGCGGGCCAAAGCCCCGCGTTGGGGCTGGGCTCAGCTCGGCAGCTGAATCAGCAAATAATTAGCAAGGCCAGAGCCGGAGGATTAGCAGCGCTCCCCTTTCCAGCCGTCCAGCCTGGCGTTAACCCTTTCATCCACATCTCCAAAACCCCAAAGCTCTGGGGACTCCTGGGGGGGAGATGCTGCTGCAGGACCAGCATGGTTGGGGGTGCCCGGGGTGCTGCCCCTCTCCAGACCCCGGTCCTCGCCCCGGTAGCATCCCTGGGAGCCGCTGTGCCGCGGGGCGAGCCGTCAGTCCCGTGCCTGGCGGCTCGTTTGTTCACCTCCGGGCAGCCCGATGACAGCGCTTCCCTTTACTACCAGCTGCAAAAACCTGGCAGCTGATTTAGGAGAGCTCCCGGGGCCCAAAATGTAAACCGTTTTTCACCAGGAATGTATAAGCAAGCCATAAAATAAGGGATTTGGGTCTGGTCACATGGGACAGGCCTCCCATAAAATTGAAGCATTGATCTGTATTTTAGTGAGCAGCTTCGAAGCTGCCCGGATGATTGAAGACCTGAGCTTTAACAAACTCTGTAATCTCCCGCCATACATCTGAAGTGGCATGTTTGAAGTCCGAGGACGAGTTATTTATATTATTTATATAATGCACGGTGAAAGGACATTAGCCGAAGCCGGAGTGCCGGTGGCGGGTATCGTTTGTGGGTAAAAAAAAGCATCGGCCCCGCTGTCCATCATCGTTCCTCGTCGGGGATGCCCTGCGTGGGCACACACCGGTGATGGCCAAGGTGTCCCAAAACCTTCCCAAATCCTCAGGAACTGGGACCCAGCCCTCAAAAGCCACCCTGCAGCTGCTGGGCTGGGACAGGTGTCGGCCCCTCCTGGTGGGGGTCACCCTGTTGACAGGACACGGTGCCCTTTCCCGCTGTGTCACCCACTCCCAGCACGTGTCACCCTGTTTGGGGATGGAGCACCCTGTTCCCTGGGACTGCTGGCTGGGCTGTGCTGGGACAAATCATCGATATCTGAGGAGTCCCTGTGCCTTAGCAAAGCCACGAAGGGAAATCCCCACTGCCACCAGCTCATTTCCATCATCCATGCCTGGCCAGCAGAGATCACATTGATAAATGACAGCAAAGATTGTAAAAGAATGTTCACAAATTAAAAATAAATAAATAAAATAAAATAAAATAAAATAAAATAAAATAAAATAAAATAAAATAAAATAAAATAAAATAAAATAAAATAAAATAAAATAAAATAAAATAAAATAAAATGTAAACCTGGGGGTAAACAAAGTGATTTACAAATTCAGACCAAACTCCAGACAGCTTTGGTGAGGCCAGGGGGAGGCCTGGGACATAGGGGGATTGTGGCAAGGTGCTTCATTTCAGCTATTTAAAACACAGCTTTATTCTTGCCCAGAAGATGTCCCCTCCCTACACTGAATTCACTTCCTGTAATTTAAGGAGTTAGGTAAAAAAAAAAAAAAAAAGTTAAAAGCTGAAATGCAGCTCCTTCAAACCCAAACTGGAACACAAAAACCTGCTGGAGTCACCCACAGCACTTCTCAACCTTTAAACCAAGTTCTTGGCCCTTTCCCTGAACACGGTGCTGCAGCACAAGACATACAAGACCTGCAGGCAGCTCCGCAGGCGTTAGCACCGTGACCTTGTAATCCCAATACCAGATAAACCCAAGGCTCCCCCATGCCCTGCAAATCCTGGCAACCCCGTGCCCAGGAGATCTGCAGCTCAGGCAGGTGCAGCAGCTCGAGCTCAGCCCCTTTT